AAGAGCGTCTTATCCCAGGAAACTTGTTAACTCAGTTTTGTTTTAAAATAATAAATAGTGTGTTGGAATCTGGAAATCTTTTAAGGGTTTCGTTTTACTTTGAATTAATGTCCCACATTATACACAATTGTTAGAGTCGATGCCAGGAGTCCTTTTAGATCCTTGTTTTTCCTTCTGCCCTTTATATCTCGATCATCATTTCTCTTTTTCAATTTTTGTCCACATCGTCCCTATTTCTCTGCCTGGGACTTAGTTCAGGCCGTTGCAGATCTATTTGCTTTCCCTGACTGTAGCCTAGCCTCGTCTCTCCTCCAGTTCATTCTCCACACTGTAGGCAGAAGAATCCTTTCATGGGGGATCAAATCCAAAGTTTCCTGCAGGTCATCAGAGATCTTCCATGATCTGGTCTCTGCCATCCTTCTTGGTTGGCTGGTGCTGGTCTCCCCCACGATCAGCTTCTTTGCCATCAGCTCTCTCTGTCCAGTCGGAGGCGGCTGCCCTCCCACACGGTTCGGGCCCACAGAGTCCTCTTCCTCTGCACTGAACTCCCAGCCGCCGCCTCCTGCACCCTCCCCGTCTCACTGTAAGTCATCTCCGACAATATCTTTATATAGCACTGATCTACATGTTCTAATTTTATTATTTTTCTACCTTTCATGCTACATTACGGGGACCCAGAAGGGCAAGGACTGCGAAGTGAATTGCTCTTTATATCTTCAGGACCTGGCCTAGTATTCAGCTTAGTATTAAATTAGAATAAAGTTTATTTACACTTTAATTTGAATAAGACCTAAGAGAGAATATTAACCATATTATATAGATCAAAATTTAACCCAAATATAAAATAAATTGATTATGATTATCTTAGTTTAGCAATGGCAGACACTGTCCACCGAATAAAGATGGAAAATTTTTGAGTATAACTTTAGGATAACATCTTCAATTTTACTTAATGTAGATAGTACTCTATGCTCACAAAGTATAAAAATAGTTTATGTTTTTAATTACTGATGTGCTTATAAATAAAAATTAAATAATAATGACAAATATTAACAGATTTTATTACTTATCTTTAGTTGGCAAATCAAACAAGTATTGGATTTTTGTTTTTTGATGCTGTATGCCCAACCCAAGGCTATGTATTATTTACAGGTACGACCTTGATAGAAATATAATTTAAAGTGGAAGTTGTATGTTGCCCCTCTCTCCTTCGATTCCTTCTTTCCTCACTATATTCCTCCACCTTACTTTATACTCAGAAAATAGAAAATACTCATTCTATTAGAATGTCAATAGGAAGGTTAAAATTGATTATCTATTTGTCTTCTTGCCGGGGTCACTGTTAACAGAAGAAATTACAGTTACCTGAAGCCAACTAAAAGGAATTTCTCAAGTTAGTGAAAAATAGAAATTGTACTGCTTACACTTCTCTGCCCGCAAGATTATTAGATTCAGCAGACGTGACTTGAGCATTTACTACGTGTACTATTAGATTCAGCAGACATGACTAGAGCATTTACTACGGTGTACTCCTCCCAGTTTAAAGCAACACGATTCTATTTTGTGCCTGGGGACTCCCACATTCTTCCAAAACCTTTCGGGGACCCTCTTAGTCTATCGATTATGCATTACACAGTAAATTAAAAAAGAAAGTCCTGGTTCCCCTTCTCCCCTCTCTCTCATGGAGAACTATTTGGGCTTCCTGGCACCGTCATTGGAACCAGCTATTTGAGAATGAATGTGCCAGTTCCCTCCATCATCTCTTTGCCAACCACGGTATTTGCTGATAGAACGTGGCACCTGTCATCTCAGCATTAAAGCTCATCAGTCTTAAACTAGAAACTGAAGTATTTGCGAGGACGAAAATGGATTCAGATATGCTGACTCTTGCAAAGAGGATCTAGATGGAATGTTATGTATTAGTATTTAGGGAAGAAATGATCTCTGGTCTTAGAATCAGAAAAGGAAAATTTACTAACAGTAAATACCCTCAGCACATTGAACTAAAAATGAAATTATTACCCCATAAAAACATTTTCAGTGTAGTCTACTTAAAGTATTTTCAATTGTCAAGCTAATATAACTTATTCATTGGAAGCGTAAAGGTACTAATGCTTTTTTGTTGTTGTTGTTTTTTCCAGCTAGAAGATGATGTCATAGCTAAAAATATGTATTTTACAAAAATTACAGATTTTATACATAATATCAGTTCAAATAATTGGTTTTATATTGAGTTTTCAATTCTTGGATTCGTAGGTAAGCAATGGATTTATTTTGTGGGGTCAAGTTTTTAGCATACGGTAACCTTAAAAGTTCTTAAGTTGCTAAATGAAAAGGAATGGCATGATTTCTATAAAAATACTTTTTATTACTTTTGTAGTAAAATCAGATGCAAAGATCTGAATTACAGAAAATATATTTTTAAACCAAATTTTCTTTCTGGACAGACAACAGAAATAAGCAGGTCGACATATATAGACATCTGTTATTAAAACATAAGATAGCTACCTTCTTGCAAAATGCTTGCCCTGAGTCTGGCACACGTTAGCTCAGTGATTAAGATGTACTTCTCTCTATTTTACATAGAAAAATACTGAAACTCAAAGAAAATCAGGAGTAGAAAATGAAATGTTAACTCTGAAGTTCCTGCAATTTCCAGTATTCCAAAACTGATATACTATAACAAAGTACGAAAAATATATGAATTACACCCACGGCAGAAAAGTTTCTAAACTGTGCTCATGATGAGATATCTTTTTTTAAAATTCTTCTACAGACGTTCCTTTTCCTTCTTGCCATTCTTCCCTCCCTTCCTAACATCTTTTTTCCTTTTTTTTTGACTCTCAAGGCAGCAAGTCGAATTACCATATTTTTTTCACAGTTCACGTCCTCCTTGTTTCGTGCAGGAGCCTCTCTTATTTTATTCTTTACTTTTATGCCCCATCCCGACTCCCACTTCCTACCACCCCCTCCACAGGTTTTCACTCTAATATGTTTAAAATATACACATAAATATAAGTATATCCAGGTAAAATATTGGTACTTATCACATTCATACCTATTTAAAATTTACATAATTGGTGATACAGTAAGCCTATTCCTGTTGCTTAAATTTTTGTCCTCAAAACTAGATTTTAAAACTGTCAGTATGTCGATTTATGCTGAGTTAGTTCACTGTTTCTTACTGCTGTGTAAGTGCTACATAATAATCCATTTGAGTCATCTGTTCCTGAAGTGGTGGACCTCGATGGCTTGCAACTCTGTGCCACCACAAAGAAATGAAGTGGCATAATGTCCCCTGGAGCGGGATCAAATGAGGGCAAGTATAGCTGGATGTCTAAGTACTGGCAGATAGCTTTGCAGATTGGCCGCACAGTTTAGACTCCCATAAGCAGTGCACGTGAGTTCCTGTTTCCCCACATACCTGATAACATTTGTTTTTATCTATTAATATCTTTCTTTGCCATTCGGAGGAGTGTAAAGCATTTCTCTGGTTGCTAGTAAAAACCATCTATTCTTTATATACTTACTTGACCACTTTCTTTCCCAAACTTTTTATAAAGTGGTATGCAATCCCAATTTTAAGGCCCTGAAGGTTTTTTGCTCAGCTTTGGTTAAAATAAGAAGAAAAATTAGAGATAACAGTAATACCTGATGAGAAGCTTGGAGAGGAAATAATATGGTTGATCTATTACTTTGAGAATTTTAAATTCTTTTTATCTTTCTCCGCAAAGTCAGGTATGAGAAAAATAAGAGGATATTCACATTCTGATCACCATGAGAGCACAACGAGCATAATAAAAGTTCTGCTATTCGATATTTACCAAAATATGAGATTTTAAAACAGAATTTTATATTATGCTGACAGCAGACAAGGAAAACATAAATATTAAGCCAACTATTTCTGTAATTAAATCATTTGCTTATAAATGGGTACCAAATGCAACTACACATGTGACCAAGTGACCCGTTTAGACTTAAGTGCTAGTGAAAAAATAAAATATGCTTACATCCTGCTGTCATGTTTATTAAATGGTTAGATGTGTTTTACACTATTTAAAGGGAACATTTACCTGAGTCTTATACCTTCATTTTAAAATTAAAGATGCAACATCATAGAAAAAAGCAGTTAATGTGGTGAAACTGTACTTTAAAAAAAAACAAATCTTTAAGAGTCATAAATATAGAAGAAAATAAAATTCTTATAAAAATAATGCTCAAATGTTGAAATAATACTGTATTTTAATTAAAGTTCAGTACCCAAAATAAAAAATGTGGTAAATTGATAAAGTTATACAAAATTCAGGTTACAAATCACAGTTTCTGGAAAGTTATGTAAAAAATTATAGCTCTTATACTTTCCATTTTATTTACATATCTTTCACTTGATTTAGATAATTTTCTTATTAGTCATTAACATTGATTACCTGAGCGTATTCACTATTTTAAACCTGCTTCTCGCTTCCCCCTCAAAGTGCTAATCCATAATACTTAAGCAGATATATTATTTTGCTTTATTATCCTCTAACTTTGTTAACACCTTGAAGTTTATTTCCAAAGAATAGGATATATTTCATTTTTAATAATTTTTTATTCTTTTCTCATGCTAATGACATGAACAACTAACTACATGTAAGGTTTATGTTATGGTATATAATATAAATGCTCAAGAGTTATTTGGACTTGTTCACTTTTTCTCCACAGGAAAGCTATTTAAATCTGAGGACTTAACTGACTTCGTACGTTTTTTTTTAATGTTCTACAAAGATAAACCAATAGACTTGCTTTTGGGGGACATTTTTCGGGTAAAGAAGTGTAGCCCAGAAGAAACTCTTGTGAGTATTTCTTTACTTTGTAAATACCAGATATTTTAGGAAAATACTATCTGATGTGATTACCTAAAAATTGTTTACCAAATTGATGTGTATCAATTTTTTAACTCCTCACATCCTAAATTTTTACTGATACTGAAACCTACTAAATGAAGTAATCAGAGACCAAAAGTGAAAACAAAGGGACAAAAAGCAGTGAACAAACAGAAAAAACCAAAATGGTAGACATAAATCCAAACATGTCAATATTTACATCATTGCTGGCCAAAATACACAAATTAAGAGACAGTTCATCAAAATGGATTAAAAAACACTCTGCAATTACTTGCTCTTTATACTCAGTTCAAATATAATACTATTGAAAGTTTAAATGTAAAAGATGGGTAAAGAGGTACCATGCAGACACTAATCAAGGAAATCTGTAGTACTTACATTAATATCAAAGTAGACTTCAGAGCAAAAAAAAAAAAAAAATTGATAGGGATCAAGAAAGATAGTATACACTGATAAGAGAGTCAAATCACCAAAATGATATAACAATTTTAAAAGTGCATGCATCTAACCACGGAGCCTCAAAATATATGAGGCAAAGATGACAGAACTAAAAGGAGAAATAGGTTAGTCTGTGTGTCAGTACTGAGTAGAAATGCATTTAAATAAGTCTGCTATTTTAAAAGTTATGTGTAAAAATTTGAGGTGTATTTTAATGAGTTATCTGTGAATACAGTATATAAAATAATTTTCAGATGGCGATCATAATAATTTCAAATATTTGTTTTTAATAGGAGTGGTGTCACAGGTCATCTTATATTTATTTTTAAAGAGATTATGCAAATCTTTTTCCATTAATTATAATATTGGCTCTTTGTTTTAAGCACATGCTTTTTACTATATAAGAAGAAATTGAGGAGAGTGTAGTTCAATATAGGAATTAATGAATATGGAGAGAGAAAGAATAATGTGAGAGAAATGGATAGATAGGAAAACACTAAAAATTTCATTTATATTATTGGAATAAAGAGAAAGGAGAGGAACATTATACAGTAGACCCCCTCATCCGTGGTTTCAATTTCCACAGTTTCAGTTATCTGAGGTCAACTGCAGTCTGAAAATATTAAATAGAAAATTCCAAAAATAAACAATTTAAAAGTTTTCAATTACGTGCCCTTCTGAGTAGTGTGATGAAATCTCATGCTGATTTCATGAGCTTCACCCCGCCCAGGACGTAACTCATCCCTTTGACCAGCGTCTCAACGCTGTGTACCCTACCCACCCATTAGTACTTAGTAGCCCTCTCAGTTACCAGATCAACTGTCATGACACCATAGTGCTTGTGTTCAAGTAATCCTTATTTTACTCAATAATGCCACATTCACATAACTTTTATTACAGTGTATTGTCGTAATTGTTCTATTTTATTATTAGTTATTGTTACTCTCTTACTGCACCTACTTTATAAAATAAATTTTATCACAGGTATGTATGTATAGAAAAAACATAGTACAGTATATATGGGATTCAGTACTATCCACGGTTTCAAGCATCCATGGGGGGTCTTGGACCTTAGCTGGTGCAGATGCGGGGGACGGCTGTAGCTGGTACAATAGTAGCCAGATTTTTTGAGACAGAGTTCATGAAAATACATGCCTTAACAAAAGCCCTTTTGTATCTCGACTCCTTTGTTCTATTATTCTTAAGAAGAAAAAACTAAGAATGAAATGTTTTGTTTAAATTTTAAAATATTAATCTAGAATTCTGGCAAAAACTAACATCGTAAAAAGTTTTGCCATCAGTAAATGCAATAAAAAGGAGTATTTAGGTTTTAACCAAAGATCGTTATTTCTCTTACTTTTTCCCCAGGAGAAATGTACAGAGCGGAACAAGCAAATTCGCATTCAATATAAACCTTCTCTTTTTCAGCATGTGGGTGAACCGTGGTCATCATTCCCTATAACAGAACAGAACAGTATTACAAAGTAAGGTTTTGAAATATAACTTGAGTAATAAGCAATGTTTCATGAACTTATATTATTTAGAAAAGGAGTGATTAGACATGGGAGAGACTGGAAAATATGGTTGTTTAAACACAATTCATCTTATGCCAGAACTATGTCATGAAAACCAATCATCTTTCCAAGACCCAAGTTACCTGTCATGGTTACAAAAATCCAGCCTACATAAACTTCTCTGCCTTACTATTCCCAGTTGTGTGATTCAAATAATAAGACCAAAAAGGTGTTTAGAAAATCATAATAGATTGTATTATTTTATTAATTTACCTAATATTCAAATTTACACAAGAATGTTTCAAAAATAAAATGCCTCTATTATTGAATTCAAGTGTATTTTCATTCTTATTTCGGACCACTATTTACTAGATGAACAAAAATTCAGTATTGTTTGGTTTTCAGTCATTCTCAAATTTCCCATCATTTTCAGAAACAACATTATTTATAATCGACTTAACATGTCAGTGGGATAGAAGAAGCAAAGAGATCAGAGTCAAACACCTGGTTTTTAGTTTTGGCGACCGACGTACGTGATATTGGGCAAGCCCTACCTTCCCTCTGAGCTGCTTCAGCTAGAAAACGAGGAGTTTAAATTAGATGATCCTTAGGATTTCTCCCACCTTTGAAATACTATTGACATCTTCACCGTTCTTTGTTTCTTCACACAACGAAGCAAATGATTAATCTTTTGTCAGTTGACGTGAGAGAAATGAACTTCTGCATCCTCCCATCGCTTCATCCGCTATTTACGACCTGCCCGCTTCCCGCCTTTTCTTCTCTGTCTCTGTGTATTTATCGTACGGCACTCTCTGGACCAGTGCTTGGAACATAGTGTGAACTCGGTAAATGTTAGTTAGCTGTCAGGCAAGGTGGAATCCAAGATGAAAAGCGTTTCTTAAACAAGACAAAGAAATGTATGGAATAATGAAAACTTTGCTGCTACAAACCTTTATGAAAAAGTAACACCATCAAAATACATGAAATATGGCCACCAATGATGCAAAAATTGGTCCATACCATTCTATTTGTTGGTGCCATTAGAATGGGATTCTTTTCTTCCATTACTTTTTTTGTCCAGATTAGATATTTTAACCTTACCTTTATAAATTCACAACAGATTGAGTAGAATGTACATCTAATCACTCATATTTTGATGTTATATACTTAGCTTTTTTCTTTTTTTCCTCCATACCACATAAAATAGAAATAAGTAACAATCTAATGATATGTTGAATGTGATTATATTTAAATTATCTTTTAAATTTCTAACAGCATATCTATTGTTAGGAGTTGCATAATTCTAACACCTTCTTGAAAAATGATCAGAATCATTCTTTGGAAAAAAATGGTATAACAAGGATTAGACTGTTTCTCAACCTTCTTCATAGTGGATAAGAGGTTATATAATGTTTTTTAAAAGTTAAGCCTACAATAGTAAAATACGAAGTATAGAAATGGATATAAATATATAGAAAATTATCAGATATTGGTTAATGTTATATTATTTTATATCCTTATGTGTATTTTTTAGTTTTATGCATATAACTTTCTGATACACTCTCTAATATTGTTTTAGAAAAACCAATCAGTATTTCCTTTTCCCTTTTTATCATGTACTGTCGATGTAGATGTACAATGGATTCGGAGACAATAGATCTTATTTTGAAGCCTCATTCTTATAAATAGATACAACAATATGGTTGAACCTCTGACACATTGTACTAAATGAAAAAAGCCAGATGAAAAAGACTACATACTGCATGATTCTGTTTGTATGAAATTCTAGAAAAGGCAGATCCTGATATTGCCTTAGGATTTTAATTTGCATTTCTTTAATGACCAATGATGTTGAACACCTTTTCATATACTTATTATATACACATATACATGTGGATATAAGTATACTAATGAAAAATATTTTTATTAAATAGAGCTATTTGTGAAATATCTATTTAAATATTTGCCCATTTAAAAAATTGGGTTGTTTGCCTTTTAAATTTTGAATTGAAATATTCCTGTTTATAGTCTGACCACAAGTCTCAGCTATGGCTTGTCCTTTCATTTTCTTAAGTGTCTGCTTCTTTATTTTTATCTTTCTCTGTCATGTTACATGCTTTCTAAATATTTAGCAATTCATGGTTGTCTGTTGAATCTTAATGAGCTTATTCAAAATATAATATTGGTCAGTTTTGAGTGGTGGCAATTTCGGTAAGTTCTCTTCCTCTTCCCTGTCCCCTACACTGCACTTATCCTCATATTTCTTTATAAAAATGTAAGGAAAGAGGGAGGCTTCCTGGGAGGTTTTGGTACCTGGCAGCATTTTCTTGATTTGTAAACTATGTTTTAGAGTATATGAGTGGTTAGGTTGCGATTGTTTTGTGTTTTGTGTTTGTTTCCCGTAGTGGTTTGAGAGAAGGGGCACCAACATGCCAGAATAGAAAGAGCTTTGTTCTGGGCACTGGCGTGCTCTAGTTAGGTCCAGATGGCTCCTTCGGCTTTCCTTAGAGACGACTGTGTATGTGAGCATCGTCTGGGCCGTACAGGCCTGGCTGCTCCGGTGTGGGTTGTGGGTGCCCCTAACGCAGACTCTTATTTCATTTTCCAGGGTTATCCCCGGTGTAGCTCCCATCCTCCATCAAACCTGCCATCTTTGTTGTAGCCCCCCGTCCCATGTGTCTGCGTCACATCTCCACTGTCAGTCCCCTTTCTTCCATTAGATTTATACCGCTGACAAATTTGATGAAATGTCTCCTAGCCTGAGAGCCCCCCCTCCACAATTCTTTACATTGTTTAGAGTTAACACATTATTATTATTATTATTATTATTATTATTATTATTCATTTACTGTCATTTCAGTAAGGTCTAGCCATCTACCACCTTGAACCAAGAGTTTGGATATTTCATTTCAATTTTAAAATTTTTAAATTTTATTAGGATTTATTAAAATTTTTTAAATTTTATTAAGATTTAAAATAAGAGTTACATACATGACCCTGGACAGATTAATATCATCCTCTTTCCTTTAACCACGACCAGCATAGCGACACCTTTGTTGCTGTGTTTTCCTTGATATTCATCCCTTTAAGTCTTTTTATAAAACCTCCATGTAAAATTTGTTCCTTAGCCAGTTAAATTATAGATTACACTTCTCATGAAACTTCTTTTTTTAGTGTAAGATATAGTTTTTTAAGGAGAAAAATTTTTTGCTTATCTCTATTCATCGAGCTTGTAGCTCGAAAATAATAAAACAAAACTTTGTCATAGTGATAAATTTTCTTAGTTCCTAGAATTTAAAAATTTTGCCTATTCTTTCAATCTAAATGTTCTTTATCATTTTCATATTCTACATCTATAATAAATAACAAAATTTCTTTTCAAAACTAAAATATTTTAGTATTAATTATTTCTGAAAACTCAAATAAAATATAATACAATTCCATTAGCTAATAAGTAAGAGAATAGTGTGTTTTTACTCATGCTTCATCTTACATGAAAAGTCATTTTCCTTTCACCGTATGCAGTGCAGTGGGCAGAGGGCAGAGTATTTTGATGTGTTGGAGGTAAGGTTTCCATAAAATAAAGGACACCCAATTAACTTTTAATCACAGTTCAATAATGATTTGGGGGTATATATAACCCATTTGTTTTGTTGTTGCTAAATCTGACAAGTCTAGTTGGAGGTGAAGGGGAGAGGGAGTAGAAGGATGCTTCCCATCAAAATGCTTTAACTGAACTATGTAAGTTTATGCCCTTGACTTTTATTAAAGAACGAAATATGGAATGTTTGCATTTTCTCCTGAACTGTTCTTTAAAGTTTTATTCATCTCTTTTATGTAAAGATCCATGTTACAATTTTCTCCTAGAATTTGGAGTCAGGGAAAGATATTCTTTGCCAAAGAATTGTCATGATTCTTTGGCTCATCGTGTTTTTGTTCTTTCCCTTTGACTAACAAAAAATTCAAAACTAATTTCATGTAAAATGTAGTACCCATATAATCTTATAATTTCTCCAGTCTTCATTTCATATTTAGGTCTCTAATTTTCATTCATATATTATTAAAAGATTATTGTTTTTATGTTGTTACCCTAAATCTTTTCTCTATGTATTTATACCTTAAATTATAAAAATCAAATACAATGAATGTTTAAAAATATTTGTTCTTATCTACAACAGTTTGTTGACTGTTATGAAAACCCAACAATACAGCAGGTATCCCAGTGATGGAATTCCACTTTCAATGATCTTAACACCACGACAATATTAAAACTGACATTGTCTCAGACATCTTAAGAATATCTTTTGCCAATATAAAGTTATCTCCTCTATTTAATAGGATAAGGTGGTGTCAAAAGGACAGAGTGAGGGAAGAATATTGTCAAGAAATTGTCTTGAAAATAATTACATCCTTATTACATCCTTATTTATTAATATTTCAATTTTAGATGTTACAGATTTATTAGTTTTATTTCAGAAAATATGAAGCTAATAACCATAACAAGAAGCTCTGTACTACCTTGGAACCTCAGATGACTGAGCTTTCTAAAGGCATCTTTCTGAAATTGTAATAATGAAAATATATAATTATATAGAAAAGGAGAAAACAATGAACAAACTAGTAGACTTGAAAGCATTTTCTCATGGAAACCATCATCATATGATTTTTTCCTTAATTACCTTGGCATACATTTTTAGATCCTGTGTTGATCTTAATAGCCAGTCGAAGGCAATGAACTATGAAGAGGTTTATAAGAGCTGATGGATTGTTTTGCTGGTTCATTTTCTTTCTTAAAACGCAGATAAAATGAGTGATACACATATGAAATCATACACATGAGTGATACACATATGAAAAATATACTAAAAATTATTTTATATGAGATTAGAATCTCATTGGGTGGCCTGTTTTTTAATTTGCTAAATCTGGCAATCATAGATAAAATGTACATGCCTCAGTCCTAAAGATGGTTCTAATTTAATGGGGAAACACTAGAAGCATTTGCACTAAGGTCAGCAACAGGCAAGAATTTTCAGTTTTCAGCTTCTTCATTGCAAACTTTGAATGGATCCTTCGGAAATCCTTTCCAGCAAGTCAGTGTATTTGTAATCAGGCATAGAATTATGTGGAATAATAAAAGTTGAAAAGATTGAAAAAGAAATTAAAGGGATAATATTATTACAAAGTACCTCAAAGAACTTTTTTTAAACAAAAAAACATATTTCAGTTGGTGACAGCATCAAAAGTGTAGACATGGTGGCCTTATTACTGATGCAGAATGAAAAATGTTCAGTGATCTTGATCACTAGCCAATCATTTCACGTTGTGCATGGATTGCCATCAATCTTTTTAATCGGAGACTCTTTAACATACATATCACAAGTCACATATTTTATTCCAATAAAATCGAATCGTGATATACCAAATTCGAAGCCAAGATTTGCTATAAAATATAAGTAGCAAACGCTGCATGATTCAATAACTACAAGGCAAAAGCTTGTGATTCAGTAGTACATTTATGCTGCATTTTTTATTGTGTTGGTTAAAACTACAGGTTCTGAAAGAGGCCTGGATGTGGAACCTAGCATTTCCACACTTACTAGTCAAAGGCTCTGGCAAGTAATTATCTTCAGTTTCTTCACCTGGTTTGTTGTGACGGTTAAATGAAACAATGAATGTAAAACCCTTAGTACAGTAAGCACAGTAGGTGTTAGCAATTCTTATTAATAGTATTTTGGAAAGAAACATATATAATGTGTTTATCAGGTTAGCAGTTCATATATCTATATTACACACACCCATGTGAAACAGAAAACCTCCCTGCTGACCACAATGACCTCTCAACACTGGCAGAACTCTAGGAAAAGCCTGGGGCACTAACTGGACGCTGTTCAGAAACGTGATTTACATAGAGTTCAAGACCCAATTAAACATGCAATAGGAGGCAGAACCCCGCTGCTTGCAGAGCCGGCAGGCGCCCGGCGGGAGGGAGATCGTGGGACTAGAACGAGGAAGTCCTCCCGCGCAACCCCGGAGCCGGGTCCTCGCTCACGGCGGGCCGAGGCGGTGGCGGCTACGGTGGCGCCCTTCCCTCCGCGGCTGTTGACCCCTCCGAGCAG